AACATATATTTACCCTTCAGAAACCCTCGACTTGGTTGACCACAGTAATGTGCAGAATGCTTGCATGCCTCGACGTGTCACACACATATACACAGTACATTTAACATACTTAGTATATAGTTCTCTGTCATGATCACCTAAAAGTAGAGTATTGCCTCTTATATCTCAGTTACTTTTGCCATAATTTTATCTTACGATATTGTGAAGCGCGACTGAATATATTCATATAGAGGTCTGCGCTATATAAATGTAAATTACTATTATTATCATTATTATTATTATTATCATTATTATTACGACCGAGTGAACGAACGAACAAACGAAGATCTAACGATGTCACAAACAAACGAACAACCGATGTGAAAACAGACGAACAGCCAAACCAAAGAATGAATTTATTTAATAATTCATCAACTGACTGAATTAACGATCCAATGAATGACTAAATGAACGAATGAATAAAAACGACTGGAATAAATAAACTATTGATCGTTCTAAGAACATGTGTAAACAAATTGCAATAACGAGAGATGTTCTTTCCAATCAGTGTCCAACGCCAGTGTAGCGAAATTCGATGGCCTTGTTCACTGTTATTCAAATCGCGACCGAAGAAACTTATAGTTAGTGCTCTACATTAAAACTGACTCAAGAGCAATCCAAACAACCTCTTTGAGGTAAACAAGCAAGAGATATCAATAATGATACTTGGTGTTAGAAATCCTTTTCCCTGTGGAAAGAGAATTTCTAACGAACATTACAATTGTGTTAGTATCACAAACCGCTTCATTTCCATTGTCGTATTCAAAGTTCATCTCCATCATGTATTCCATGTCAGCGTCTTCGCCACCATCATCGATAGGACGTCTCAGCTCCGGTTTGACGTGCATCTCAAACAAATTCAGATTTGTCTGTGGAACGCAATCCACCAGCTCCGATAAATCCTCCGGTGCTCCAGTGAATTCATGTGTCATAGAAGGACAATTCTGTAAAATTCAAACAAACCCCCGTAGTTATTTGACAATCGAAAATGACAAGCGTGCAAACCGCTGCGATCAGCGATTTTGTCGTGCGTGTATCGTTCCTAAGTTTGTAATCTTTTCCGGTAGCCTTCATTAAAGATGAAACGGTCTCTTCTGGTACCTGGCGGCTGACTCCTCAAAAACATTCTGTCAAACAACGAACACTTTGTGAACTCAACCGTGTAATTAGCGCCACCCCTGATAAGGAAGAAATGAGGCTACATTCGAGATACTTTGCGGGATTTTATCAGCTTGTGTATCAACTCTTCAGCGAGGCATAAAACGTCGTTGGTTTGCGAAATATTAAGGATATGACCCACACAGTAGAATGAGAATCATCGCTCAAGATCATAAGTGAATATCAGGGTAATAATTTCTCAAAAATTTCATTGATTCTTTATCTATCGATTACTGCAGCGAAATAGAACCATACCTCGTCAAATCCCGGAGCGATGGGGACCCTGGCTTCCATAAGGGGATCTTTCTCCTTCGTCAGGCCCCCGCTTAAAGAAAGCACGGAGGCCTCGAACAAATTCTCCCACTGTCTCTACAACGTTGTCCCATCAGCGATACCACCAAATGTGCTAAGTGTCGTTGATAAGGTCAACTGGGCTTTGATTGGTCCATTTACCGATACATAATTGCTCCTCTGTGGGGTTACGAGATTGCAAAAGCGATGATCTAATCTTGGTTCGTTTCTCTCGCCCAGAGCTGGTTCAAATGTCAATTCTCCAAGAAAACGTGTTCTCGTGAGGGTTGGATACAGAGAATAACAACCTCTGCAGCTGTTTTAGGGTAAAACAAAGGAGAACCAGTGGCGACCACAAGAAAGTGTAACGAACAAGGTGATTACATAACGGGTACCAGCAATATTTTTTCTCGGCAATATTTACACTTTCCATCACTCGTCGGTCCCAGGCTCCCTGGGAAACTTCTGAGGAGATTCTTGTATAAAACAGTGGCTTCCAATGTGAACCAACAAAGGGTCTTATGTCATAAATTCAAAACAAAACTTCTGCAAAGTTTCTCGGTTTCCTCTTAATAATCCTAGTTTTAACTTGGGCGTTCTAGGACTTTTGAAGGATTCTTGCACAACAAGCGCATTGCGGTAAGATCTAAATATTTTGAAAACTGAGATCCTTTAGAGAAACTTTTTCCTTGTTTTATCATTATTATTATTGTTGTTATTATTATTATTTAATCTTTATTCACTATAATCACTAAAAGTATTTACAAAAATTACGATGAAATGCTTAAAAATCGAAAACAAATATGTCAAAATGTCCAGTAAAAATCCCAGAAAAAGCTCATGGATACACACTTCTTATAATAGTTATAATGATGATCATAATTAAGGTATAAATATTACAAAACAAGTTTAAAAAGTCTCTAACTGAGAGAAAAGTTTTAAATCTCTTCGGTATTAACTTAATAATAATAATAGATTTTTCCTTAAAAATATTTCACAAAAAGCAGTTCTCTAGAAAAAAATTAAAAGTTCA